AAATCAGCAGTAATATCCCTTTTTTCACATCATCTTGAGAATCCACCTTGAATTTCTGGCAATTCCCTGATGATGTGCTACTGGAACTGCTTTTGAGTTATTTTCAGCACAATTTTACTTGCATGTGACATTAATATTGTTTGATAATTTTTGCATTCTATTGGATCACCTTTGTTTGGAATAGACATGAATAATGAATCTCTTCCAGTAGGTTGACTAGCTTGAAAAAAACAAGTAGGAGGTAGAAATAGAGAGCAAAATGCTTACAAAATAACAAACTAACAAAAACTAACATGGCTGAATTATAGTGGGGAGGAAGTAGAAGATGAAATTGGTCTGTTCTATAGATAGGAGAGTGTGGTCTGGTTCCTAAGTGGAGGAGTTTGCTTTGTTTTGGTGGCATAGTGCCTAAGGCATCTGACTGCTAACCAGAAGGCTGGCAGTTCAAACCCACCAGCCATACTCCTCGGAAGGAAGATTGGGCAATCTACTTCTGTAGTGATACCACCTCAGAAACCCAAAGAAAAGTGATCCAACAGAGTATGGAAATTATCAAACAGTATTATGAATATCAGGAGCTCTGGTGGTATAGTGCCTAAGACATTTGACTGCTAACGAGAAGGCTGGCAGTTCAAACCTACTAGCCACTCCTTGGAAGGAAGCCTGGGGAATCTACTTCTGTAGAGATACTGCCTCAGAAACCTAAGGAGGGGTCACTATGAATCCGGACCAACTTGACAGCAGTGAGTTTGGTTTGGTTTTTGGTGATCATTAATAGCACACACAACTAACATTTTTCTGAAGATAATTCAAAAATGGTTACAGCATTGTATTGACAGGGAACTTCCAGAAATGCAAGCTGGTTTCAGAAGAGTACATGGAAGGAGAGGTGTCATTGCTGATGTCAAATGAAACTTATTGAAAGGAGAGAATACCAGAAAGCTGTTTACCTGTGTTTTATTGTCTATGCAAAAGCATTCAACTGTGTGGATCATAATAAACTATAGATAACGTTGAGAAGAATGGAACTTCCAGAACACTTCATTGTGCTCATGAGGAACTTGTACATAGACCAAGAGGCTACCCTTTGAACAGAACAAGGGGATACTGCATGGTTTAAAATCAGGAAGTGTCAGGGTTGTATCTTTTCACCATACTTATTCAATCTGTTTGCTGAACAAATAATCCAAGAAGCTGGACTACATGAAGAAAAACACAGTATCAGAATTGAAGGAAGACTCATTAAGAACCTGTGATATGCAGATGACACAACTTTCCTTGCTGAACATGAAGATGACATGAAGCACTTACTGATAAAGACTACCAGCTGCAGTATGAATTACACCTCAACAAAAGGAAAAGGGAAACCCTCACAACTGGACCAATAAGCAGCATCACAATAAATGGAAAAAGGTTGAAACTGTCAAAGATTTCATATTACTTTGTTCCACAATCAGCATCCGTGGAAGCAGCAGCCAAGAAATCAGACATCATACTGCACTGGGCACATCTGGTGCAAAAGATCTCTTTAAAGTGTTGAAGAGCAAAGATGTCACATTGAAGACTAACGTGAGCCTAACCCAAGCCATGGTATTTTCAGTTACTTCATCTGCGTGTGAAAGCTAGACAGTGAATAAGGAAGACGGAAGAAGAGTTGATGCTTTTGAGTTGTGGTGTTGGTGAAGAATACTGAGAGTACCATAGACTACCAGAAGAATGAACAAATCTGTCCTAGAAGAAGTGCAGCTGGAATAATCCTTGGAAACAAGAATGGCCAGGCTCTGTCCCCCCTATTTTGGCCATGCTGTCAGAAGGGACCATTCCCTGGAGAAGGATATCATGCTAGGTAAAGTGGAGGGTCAGTGAAAAAGAGGAAGACCCTCAATGAGATGGATTGACACTGGTTCAGCAGTGGGCTCAGGTATAGCAAGGATTGTGAGGCTGGCACAGGACTGGGCAGTGTTTCATTCTGTTGTACATAGAGTTGCTATGAATTGGAGCCAACTTGACAGCATCTAAGATCAACATTCTAACATACTTTTTTCTCCTTTTGGAGAATTCTTACTGCACTTCTAGTTAGCACTTAGCCTAGTGTCTTTTTATTGTTGTTGTTGTCATCCTTGTCATCATTATTATGTGCCTGTGATTCAACTCCAACTCCTAGAGACTTTATGTATAACAAATTGTAACACTGCCCAGCCCAGTACCATTTTCATGATTGTTGGTGTGTTGGAGTCAATTTTTTGGCTATAGTTTCAGTCCATCTCATTGAGGGTTTCCCTCATTTCTCTGACCCTGTATTTTACCAACCATGATGTCCTTTTCTAGTGATTGTTTTTTCCTGATGATGTGCCCAAAGTAAGCAAGCCAGAGTCTCACCATCTTCACTTCAAATGACATTCTGACTCCATTCTTCTAAGACTGATTTGTTTGTTCTGTCAGTCCTGGTTTATTCATTGTTCTTCACCAACACTGCAGTTCAAATGCATCAGTTCTTCTCCTGCCTTTACAGTATTTAATCAGTGTCAAATTCTCCCCAACTGGAATAAAAACTCTCTAGTATGAGAGATTAGGCCCCATACTCTGTATCTTCCATAGCACATGTGGGTGGAACACTGGTACTAGAAGAAAAACAGCTTGGCAAAATAGGATTGATTTTACATTCTAGTCTCAGCTTAGAAGAACACATGGCTTGTGAGAGGTGAGTGTGAGGGTTGTATGTGTCAACTATATTTTCTCTAAGGCCTTTCCTGGATTCAGAATTCTGTGATTCTAGTGACATGTGAATGCCTGATAGAATGTAGAGTGTTGGAGAAGAGAGACTTTAAATTAACACTAAGATTGTAAGCCTGTAAGAACCAAGAAGATCAAAGTGCCACTGCCAGAAAATTGGAAAAGGGTACCATTTTGGTTAGACATAGGACCAGTTAGTTTAGTGTCTGCCATGTTTTGCTTTCATTGAGATTTTCTGATGTACCATGCCCTTTAGGCAGTGGGAAGTTGCAGACTGTGGTGAGATGCAAATTGAAGAATATAGAGGAATTCAGAGTTATCACCAAACAGATGATGTGAGCCTCCTAGAGGGAGTGGATCTAGAGAGGAAAGGGAAAAAAAAAGCACTGACTTTTGCAGTGAGAGACCTGATCAGAGATAGGAGGATAATGAAGGACCAATGTCTGTATGTGCATGAAAGATAATGTCTGGTGCTGGTGTCAGCAGTTTGAAAATTGAGAAAAGTTTGTGTATGTTTGACTAATAAACTTGATAGAAAACCAAAAAAACTGCCCGCTGTCAAGTTGGTTCCGACTCATAGCGACCCCTCCTTGGGTTTCCAAGGTGTTATCTTTTCGGAAGTAGATTGCCTAGTCTTCCTTCCCAGGAGTGGCTGGTGGGCTTGAACTGCTAGCCTTCTGGTTAGCAGTCAAATGCCTTAGGCACTATGTCACAAATTGGTCTTGTGAGCTGAAGATAGCCTCCAGGTTGAAAAGAGGCAAGGAAGTATGCTACAGACCAGATAGATGTTCTATGCTGGTGCTTTGAAGGAGATTCAGGAGGCAGGGTTGATGGAAATAGTAGTATGGAAGCTGGAACCTGGTACCTGTGTTGCCTAAATTGCAGAACCTTCTTCCTTCCACACACTATCCAGAGTTCCTGCAGGCTTGCTTTACTTACTTCGAAGAGGTTTAGCCTTGCTAGGTGGTTTGGGGTGGGGTTTCCCCCTGTGGGAAGTTAATCTGTAGTTCATATGTTCACAAAAGACCATGAATTAAAATGGATTACTACTAAAAATTGGATTTTAAAAATTAAAGCATTATCTTTTTACTTTTCCCTTGTTTTAAAAAACGCCATGAAATGAATTTGTCACTTAGTAGTAGTTTGATTCTTCTGGTAAGTCTAAAGTCAAATGGTGGTAGAATAATGAATAATGAATAACTATCCCTTGTAATATTTATCCAAGAAGTCACTTTCCATTTTTATAAATAATAATAAAATAGTAAATGTTACCACTTGATTTTACATGCAGCTCATCTGTCTATCAAAGAAGTATATATATCATTTCCTTATTTCTCTTTAGTTTATTATCATCCTGATTAGCAAACTTTTAAATCCACAGAAAAGTATTGGGAAATAGTAGGTAATGAGCTGTGGCTGAGGCGAGGGGCACACAGGTGTCTCTTGTTTATATTTAGGGCAGAGACAAGAACCAGAAACTACTATTTTAGTTTTGTGCATTGGATTTGGATATGAAGGTGTGAAGTATAGTTTACAAGCTGATATATTATTAAACATTACATACATCTGATTTCCCGTGAATTTCTGTTACCAGTTTGGAAAAGCACTGCCACAGTAAAACATACTATAACTGTGGGTATAGGAAATCATTCGGACGAAGCAGATGATTACCATTTACAATTACTGCTTTTTTCTAAGTGCACAACTCTATGATAAAATATTGAGGTTAGAGAGGGAAAAAGCTCATAGTAAAACAAAATGTTGTCCTAAAGATTGTGTTCTGGTGAGAGGCTTTTGAGAAAAGTAATAACCTGTTTGACTCTTAACCAAAAATTAACCTCTAGTAAAATGTAAGGAAATAGCCACAGCTCATTCTCAAATATCTTAGTTCTATATTTCTAGCAACCTATTGAATTTTGCAGTTTCTCCAACTGTTTCTTCCTTCTCCCCGTCTCTATTAAACACATGCTAGAAAACTAAGCAAGGATATGTTTTTTAACATAAAATTAAATTATTCTACTAATCATTTTATGCCAGTTTCAAAAACATGGTTGGCTATACTACCAAAAGTTAGTTTTGAATTATGTGGCTCAAAAAAATTTAAACAATGTATTGTTCATCCAGGCATCTTAATGACAAATAAACTACATAATAAAAAGATATTATCATAGAATATAGCACTGATGAAATGCACAGATTAAAGTTTAAACAGCTCTGTGTCACTGTAACCAAGGTTAATTGTTTGTTTCTTATGTTTCTTTTAATAGAATTTAATTCCTTTTCAACCTTCAATTCAGTTTCAAGGGCTCCAGGGGGTGAGTACTCTTATTAATTTAGCAAGAAAATCTAATAGTCTTCTTACATGCTATTATATTTAACTTTTTAAATTTTTTATTTGGACTTTTTACTGTTATAATAACTCATTCATATTTTATGAACATTGTGGCCAAATGTAAATGTCTGACATCATTAAGACACTTGAATTATCTTCTTTCTTAATTTTTGTTAAAAAAAATTAAGATATACTTTATGTAATATTTAAGGAGTACTGGTAGTGCAATGGTTAAGCACTCATCTGCTAACCAGAAGGTCAGCAGTTTGAACCCACCTGCCACTCCACGGGGAAAAGATGTGGCAGCTTTAGAAACCCTTTAAAAACCTTGTCAGGCAGTTCTACTCTATCTGTAGGGTCACTGTGAATCAAAGTGTATTTGATGGCATGAATGTTATGTAATACTGAGAGTGTTTAGTTTTCTTCAAATTATGAGAAATTGTGTTTTTAATGTTTTATTGATGTATAGCATACTTAAGGTATTATCATAATATTTTGTTTACCACAGTGAAACATCTGTAAGAAATTATTAATTTCAGGAAAGTTATGATTATGTGATTGCTACTATTAACTAAAGTTTTCTCTCTGTGCACTTAATTGTTTTAATTGTACATACTAGGAAATGAGATGTGTAAATAGAAAAATGAGCTTTTCCAGCACACAGGGTAAATAAAATTTTCTGTGTCTATTTTATTGCTGCATAGAAAAATGTAGCAAGTGATAATTCCTAATAAAATGAACCTGTTATTTTTGTATTTATAAATTAATGATAAACTTTACAGGAATAATGTCAGCATTTTTTTATAATCAACATTAATATTTATTAATAAAATGAACAGTAGACCGAATCATTCTTATTTGTGTCCTCACTTAAATTAATATGCATTTCTGTATTTGTCTCTGTACTGGCATAGTATAGAGATTTGGAAATCCATAAATGAATTTTTGAGCTATGGAGAAAAGGCAAGCTTAGCAGGGAGGCTTCTAAACCTAATTATTGTAAATCTACATACTCGTGAATTCTTGGTTAGTTATGTCACAGAATGCAAATATGTTGATGTAAATAAATAAAATCTTTGTAAATTTTGTAACTTAAAACATTGCAAGAGTCAAAAGATGAATTGTTCAGCACAGACTAAGAATACTTGTAAATCTGTTGTGAAAAGGTAACTTGAAGGGCATGTTTGTGTGGATGTCAGAGCTTTGCTTTTACAAAGAAGTCCTTTTATCTTTTTTTTTTCCCCCTTCTTAGTAACTGAATGTTTATGAATGGAGTCCTAATTGGAAGAAGCTTTTTTTTTTTTTTTTTTTTTTATAGCTTTTTAGGTAGTTTCTGTGCACGTTGATTCTGTATTTGAGGAGCCAGTTTCACCTTTTTACTTAAAAGACTTCTTGAGTTTTCTTGCAGATTTTAATGGCATCAGTAATATCCAGAGGGATGTTACAGAGGCAGGCCTGAGTCGATGACCCCTGCAGGGCTCCATAAATGGTCGGTGGTGGATACTCTGGCAAAGGTCAAGGCCTAGGGTCGGGGAGTAAGGTTTGAGCTGCTTTTCCCATGCTGACAGCTATAAGACTGTCACCTTGTCATGAGACTGCTTCTGTCCTTAGTTCTCTCTTTCTCATGGTTGAGACATCAGAGTGAAGGACTTTTCTTCAGATGTACCATGTTTGACTGAAAGGAGACACCTTGTGTGGAACTAAATTGTATCAGTTTCCAAAACTCTCAATACAGACATTTATAGCTTTTAACACTCTTAAAAGGAATCTGGTTTTCTCTGGCATTCCAGTTGCCCCAGGCCCTAGCACCACTGAAAAACAGGCAATTTAAATTTGATACTTTGGGCCTCTCTTTCTGATTTCTCCTACCTACCACTTCAACAATACCCACCTACCCCCATTTCATGTTGTTATTGTTGTGGATCATTGAGTCAATACCAACTCATAGTGACTCTATATGACAGAATAGAACTGGCACATAGAGTTTCCTAGGCTATAATCTTTACAGAAGCAGATTATCAAATCTTTCTCCTGTGGAGTAGCTGGTGGGTACGAACCACTGAGATTTTGGTTAACAGCTGAGTGCTCGCCTGTTGTACCACAAGGGCTCCTTCTCATGTGTCTAAGTTCCCCCATTTCATCTTTGCCTGCTCCACTACACCATTACTTCCTAAAATACTACTTCACTGATAAAAGTAACATATATAAATAACTGGTAGTTTTAAATCTTACTGAGTATTTGAATTTTAACAGATAATATTATTAACCCAGGGGGATGGTTAATTGGACTTAGTCTGGGCTTTGAACAGGTTCAAACCAATTCAGTCACAACTGATGTAGTGAAATATGAACAAACCCAAATTTTTAAAATGTGAGTGTCCCAGAATGATAATTGGAGTGAGAAAACTTACATGCCGAAGGCCCAGAATGGGAGACATAGAAGAAGCATAGTGAGTCCTTCCAGGAGCCTGATGCAGGAGATTGGATCATTGCCAGGACTATGACAAATGACACACATTCAAACTGGTGTGTTCAGCCACCATCTTTGAGCTGGGCACCATTGTTTCCAACTCTGTTGGTTAAGAGATTTGGTTACTATGCAACATGCACACTGCTTTTGTTTTCTAAGAGAGAGATTATGATTCTAGCAGGATAGCAAACTAATTTTCCCCATTCAGGTTATTCCAGTACACCCACATTTTACAAATTTGTGTCTGTTCTGGTTTCTCTTTCTTGGCCATGACTGATCTGGGAAGAACCATTTCAAAGTCCTCCATTTAATAGAGTAGAGTGGGCTGAGGGGTGTTGGTAACTGAGAGCTGAGATGGTTGGCCTTACGTTGCTTATTCTGGGTACTGTTCTTCTTGTACCCCCTGCCTCAGTCCATGTTTGATTATTCTAACTGGGAACAAAATATATGGACTCAGCATTGTTTCAAAGTCTGCAGCTGCATTCCATCCACCCCTCCCCCTTTCTCATTGCAGAACTCTCCCCAGCCCTTTGGGACTTAGTAAAAACAAAGAGTCATTACAGGGGAGAGAGTGGGTTGGCACAGCCCACAGGGAATACGGGGAGTCACAAATGTGAGGGTCTTCTATACAGTGCTCTTCTGTCTTTCTCCAGAACCATGATAGTTTAACATTGCCTGTATTGATTACTTTAAAAACCTCTCTGAGGAAGCATGCTTACAGAGTTCTGGAAAATGTTTAGGGCTTTAAATTGGAAGGTTTATTTCACAAAAAGGAGCTTTTTCTTAATGAGAAATTTTAGTTGTTTTTAATATAGTGTTTCAGAAATTTTAAGTTTTCCTAGAAGGGATTTGGTAAATCTAGTTAGCAAATTACAGTCTTTACATCAAACATCATCAAAAATATGCATTAACTGTTACGTAATAGGAGCTCTGGTAGCATAGTGGCTAAAAGCACTTGACTGCTAACCAGAAGGCTGGTGGTTCAAACCCACCAGCCACTCCTTGGAAGGAAGTTTGGGCAATCCTACTTCCGTAGTGATACTGCCTCGGAAACCCAAGGAGGGGTCACTATGAGTCGGGGCCAACTCGACGGCACATAACAATATATAGGCATGTTTTAACCATGACTGAATCACTGTTACAATTTCATGTTTTAAAAGTAGCACATAGTGTTAGAATTATTTCCTGTTTCCCTGGTGAGATCCATCCTAACCACTGCATCGTTCTGCTGCTCCTTGTTACTAACTACGGGCTTTTTTTCCCTCAGTAATATCTTTAGAAGGCTAGAATTTGGGTCTTATGAGGTTAGCTTTTAAGCATATTTAATTTTGTGTTTAGCATGTACTCTTAGGTTAAAATTTTCTTCCAAAAAATTGGAGACTGAAAATTAAACAACATATAGTAGGAAACGGTTAGTGAAAAATCTGAGAACCATTGATTACCTGTATTTTTACCATCACAGTAGGGCAGCAGCATACACAAAAAAATGTAATTCTGTCTTTTACAATTAGTTCTACTGCTTTCCCTTAGTGGGAGAGGGTGCTCAGGAAATGGGATGGTCCTTGAAGGTATCTTCGGGACTAGGAAATATCTACAGGTTTGATTGATTCTGACTTCTAAACTCATGAATATCAGGAGCTGAATAAACTAACCAAAAATGCCTTGTCGGTTCTGAAGAGCTCTAACCATATACCTAGGATGCACATAACTAAAGATTTACTGGGGTTATAAATTTCTATAGTCCACATAAGTGAACAGAAAAGATAGCTGGTAAGATTCACTTGGGTTACTGTATGGAAGTGTTCAAATTACAGCATTCAGAAGGGTACATTGATATAATGCACCAGGTTTCCAAAAGCTTCATCTTTCTGTAGGGTTTTGTTGTAGTTATTGTTATATAGGTTAAGCTTTCTAAAAATCAGCATAGCTCTGTCTCTCTATTTAATTGGATACTGAAAATGCAGCTGGTGAAAATTTTAGAAAGATATGTGTTTCAGTATTATTTTAAAAACTAACTGTATTTTAAAAACTAAACTCTATTTTTGATGCTTATGGAAAGTTTCTTGTCTAAAATCACACAACTGGTAGAGCCAAGAGCTATAACTATAGTCTAGAGCTTTACACCACACCATCAGGGAAAAGTTCTCCCTGCTATACTGCACAGCTTTGAAAGGAAAGGTGCTGGAAGCAAGTTAACTCAGTATTTTCACATAATGACAGTTGTTACTATTGCAAAGTTACCTGTTAACAGTAACCTGTAAACAGTAGCCTAATTAATGAAGGTGCTAATAGATCAATTTATTGTTTGTTTCTTATTCATTGAACAAACATTTGTCAGCCCTTAATAATGGTAAGTACTTTGTTAAATGCTTAGTGCGCAAAGATAAAGGGATGGATATGACATGATCTCCACCCTCAAGGAACTCGGAATCTGACACATATACTCAGAAAATACTCAGAAAAGAATTAAGAATGTAGGACTTACCCAGAACTCTCCATTAAGATCCTTTATG